CATCCTTCTTAGTGAGAATAAGTGGAAAAACTTGTAGATAATATAATAGTTTAGGGAAGCTTACTATTTTATACAGGTTCACGCTGCCCATAAAAGAAAGAGGAAGTTATTTCCATGGGTTAGGTTCCATTTCAATTGAATCTAAGGCAATTGAAATACTTGCTTCGTATAAGGAGGTTAAGTCCCTTGTTATATTAACCCCCAGATATGTTAGAGTTTGTGATTTGGACAAAATAAGTGAAAGGGTGGTTGGTAAGGGAACCTTGATATATAGCAGTAGATTTAGTAGAGCTTGTTGCAAAGCCTTCTAATTTACTGTAAGTATCTAATAAATGCAACAGTGAGGGTAGATATTTGATTATATTAGATGTAAATATTAGTAGGTTGTCAGCAAATGCAGAGACCTATAGATTTGAGTCTCCAGTTGGTATACCCTGATAGTTGGGCAGTTTGCTCTCGACAAAGGATCAATTGCAATACTGAATAGAAGTGGTAAAAGAGAACATCCATGTATCACGTGTTCTTTCTACATCAAAGCTAATTAGGAAAGTGGTGGAATGTGAAGGTATGTTTTTGTGTGAATGGGCTACTGCTGCCAGAGCCCTTCTCAATCGCATGGTTGAAACCCAACTGATGCGAGGTGAGTATATTTGGGAGGACAACCTGAAGTCTATAGGCTAGCATTTTTGATAGCAGCATTAAACCTAGGTTAAGTAATTATATAGGTCTCTACAATTGGGTATGGTTCCTATGAGGTTTTGTTATCAAGACTGTTCTGGCTTGATTAAGAGAAGCGACCTACAGGCTTTCCTGATATACTTGATTAAAAAGTGGGTTCAGAACAGTACAGATAAGTGGTTTTAGAATTTTAAAATATTCATTCTAAAACCTGTCAGGTCCAGGTGATGTTTCATTAGTTAGAGAGGTGACTGCTGTGTGTATTTCCTGGTCTCTTATTGGGCCATTCAGCTAAGCTCTAAACTCATCATCAATTTTGGATATGCATAGTCATTTAAGGAAGTCCATTCCCTTTGAATGATTGTCAGGGAGTGAGGCATTAGTGTCTTGAAATTATGGTAAAATAGTTTTTGAGTGTGTAAGGTTATTGTGTTGCCAAAAGCGGTTACCAAGGAAGTGATAAGCTTATACATAATTTTTGGATTGGCCATGTGTGTCAGTAACCTTCCAGACCTCCCACCTCATCGATAAAACTGCTGTGTCTGATGGTCTAATTTAGCCCGTGTTTACTTGTTTTGTGGAGGGGTTTAGAGTGGCTATATAGGTCATGTTCAGGGTTTTTAGGGTGTTCTCTAGTGTCAACAGATCAACCTGCCATTTTTAATATGGGATGCTACATATGAAATTATTAATAATAAATTAAATTATTATGTGTTAAGTTGTCATCTATATAAATGAGCCATGCCGAGGAGAGATGGGCTTGGAAAGATGGATTATTTGTCAAATATGAGTCAAATCTTCAGTTTGGAGTGCACCATTATGGAATGGGTAATTGGAGAGTAATATTAATTGGGGCATGTTCTGAGACCACTGTTGTTTCTATGGTTGCTTTATGTGACTTGGGAGAGTTAATAGGGTGGACATCAAAAACATATATTTTCATGATTGAGATTTGCGTACTGCTGAGTGATAGGTGTAATCTCGTTCTGTTTCATGATGGGTTCTCAAGGTGTCATGTAGGCTACATGTATGACATAGATTTAAAAAAAAGTATTGTTGTCATCTACTACAGTAGTGTTGCTACTATGTGATCTATCAACATGTGGGTCACACAAGCAAATAACCCCATATTAAACGACCACGTGAGTTTTTGTGAGAATTGTTACGTTTGACATAGATAGGTGTGGTTAAAGAATTGGGAGCATAAATAATTACAATGCAATATTTACTATCATGTACTGAACAATATATAGAACAATATAATGTAATATAATATAAAACAATAATTTGTTAAATGTACTATGGAAAATGTTTATGGATCAGTATAGATACCCCTCTTGCTTTCAAGTCTGCTGATATACAACTGTGAAAGCAGCAGGTTTTTAGGGGTATAGCAGAGTTTTTTGCCTAATGCATCTCTGTAGCAGTGTTATGTGGGGTTGATGAGCTGTAAGTTATGTAAAGATTTTTTCTTTTTCTTGGGGTGCTCACTCCCAGGACATTCCAGGACAGCAGGGTGAATGATGATTGCAAATGTTGTGTTCTGTTTTTTTTATTGATGTCATTATCCAAATCTTTCTACAATCAGGGTTGTTTTTGACCCTGAAATTGAAGCATCTCCATCAGCCAATTAGGAAAAAAGGGTGGAAGATTGCTACGACGTATCAATTCAGGGAGATATAAGAAACATAGCTGACGCATGCAGAAAAATAGTTGTGGGAGGGGATAACTGTATTAGTGACTCTTATTCCCCATTTCTTGTTTCTCAACAATTCCAAAACCATTACTCTATGTTCCACCAATTATATGCATGTTAAGTCTTACACAGCCTTGGGTAACTTTTATTATATGATCATGAATTAGGTTAACTTAATTCAGTCATGTTTATTTAAGCAATGAAGTTTATGTTGTTAATGTTACTAAATATAATCTATGGTTATTATAGCATTTGCTTTTGCTTTTAACCTTATTCTTTCATGCCATTTATGTATTCATGCCATTCTTTCATGCCATTATGTCTCATAAACATATGTATTAGTAATTCTGTCTCCTCCTATCAGCGCCGCCATAATAAATTTTGGGGTCCCTAACACAGCTCAAGGTGTGAGCCCTCGGGGGCCTTCCTTCACTGTCCTCCTCCAAGCTCACCCTCAAGGCCCACTTCCAAGCCCACCCACAAGGATGCAGTGTGTGTAATGTGAATACAGTGTGTGTGTACATATACAATATGCATGTGTAAGTGTGTATGTAGGCATGCTTTTGTATGGAGTATGTGTGTGTATGTTGGTGTTTGAATGTAGGCATGCATTTGTGTGCAGTGTATACACACACACACACAAACACATATACACACACAGATACACAGACACACAAGCAAATACAGACACACACTGACACACAGGTACACACGCAATGACACATAATTACACACAAATATATACCCACACTGACACACACCGATACAGACACTCATACACATTGAAACAGGATACACACACACACTGACATACAGACATTCCTGACATACACACACACATACTGAAACACATACATACTGACACATACAAATACATACTGCCATACATATAGACATACAAACACACACCTACTGACATACATACATACATACATATTGACATACATATAGACATACAGACACACACATACATACTGACAGACTGAAAGACACACACATACATACTGGCATATAGACATACAGACACACACATGCATACAGACACACAGAATAAGTTTTGCACCTTTCAGCGGATTGATGACATCTGGTTTTGTGACCTATCTTCTGATTGGGCCGCGAAACCCCTATCCTCCCCAAGCCCTGAATGGTGCATCCAAGTTTCAATCAGCTGACATAGCGGGAACCAAATCGCGCCAATCAGCATTAGGGGGAGGAAGGAGTTCCGCCGCCCAATCCCTAGAAAGAGCAGCAGAACTTCTTCCTCCCCCTAATGCTGATTGGCGCGATTTGGTTCGTGCCATTTCGGCTGATCGGCTGTTGATTGGTGTAGGCGCGAAGTTTGAATTTGCTAGACTAAACCAAGCAACACCATGGAACGGATATCGTGGATGTACAGAGCCTTGAGCCCCAGACTTTTGATGCTGATATCTCCTGGCTCTGTACATCCAATTGCCCCACTTTTTGCCGGGGTCCCAGAGGGGACCCGGGGCTATTAAGCTATGTAAGTTTTATCCCTGTTACCCCTTCCCGTCCCATGGCTCTGAGCCAGAGTGTATCCCCCTGAATGTAAAATGTACTCATGCATGTCCCTGTGTCTAGTTAGTATCTCCCAGAGCAGGAGATGGTTATCTATTCCCCAGCCCCCTCCTGTATGTGTTTTGTGTTGTGTTGGATGGAGACCCCTTGCGGGGGTCCGTGCATAAAAGACTGTGTGCCCAAATAAACATTGTTAAATGTTGTATCCTGGAACTGTGTCCCGTCCAGTTACTGGGGAAATGGGTCTGACCTATTCTAACCTAAGGGGATAACCAGTCAGGTCCGGCTACACTTGGCAGCTACAATATAAATAGTCAACTCCTTCTGGGCCATGAATGTATGTATTGACCCTACATAGGCAACAATGTGTGAGGGTTAAACACTTCTAAGGAAAACACTTATAGGTTTAGCCCTTGTTTTTTGTTTTGTTTATTGAATGTGTGCGCGTGTCTATATGTGTAAGAGTATGTATTAGGTAACATATTGTGTACGTGTACAAGTCTTGGTATATAAGGAAAAGAGAAAGACAGCGCTAAATAACTTATAAGCAGCAACCTTTAAAAGGGGATCCCTCAAACCCTTTTAATTTAGATAAAATAAGAACAAAAAAAAAAAAAAGGCTGCGCACACAGATAAAATTAGAATAAAAAATAAATAAAGTCCAATTAAAAAGAAGGAAAAGTCCAGTATTATTGTCCTTACAGATAGTCTTTGCTGGTGACGTCTTCTACTTTGTAGTGAGTCCACTTATATGAAAGATAAAAAGAGAGAGGAGGACAACCAATAGTGTAGTATGTAGAGTTCTAATATGGATGTGAAGAAATAATAGTATAAAACTCACATTTGTCAGAGCTAATGTCCTAGCTCTGGAATAAAGCGCATACGGCGGTTTAATCCCAGTTTATGGGATATAGGTGGTTTCCTCTCTGTGATAGGTGTCCAATTTCTCGAAATAAAAGAGACAGCCAATAGTGCTCACTGTATAGCAATATTGATAAAATAATAAAAGAATGTACTTACAAAACCAGAGCAGACCAACTGCTCCGTGATGACAGCTTGGGTGGATTGATCCCTACATTGGATTTCTTTAAATGCAGGAAACTTCCAGGGATTTTCAGGGTTTCACATAATACCCTTTTTACCCTGGCTTTTTAATTAATTTATTTTTATGTGTTTTAAAAAATAAAAAACCCTGAAAATCCCTGGAAGTTTCCTGCATTTAAAGAAATTCAAGGTGGGGATCAATCCACCCAAGCTGTCATCACGGAACAGTTGGTCTGCTCTGGTTTTGTAAGTACATTCTTTTATTATTTTATCAATATTGCTATACAGTGAGCACTATTGGCTGTCTCTTTTATTTCGAGAAATTGGACACCTATCACAGAGAGGAACCCATCTATATCCCATAAGCGGGGATTAAACCGCCGTATGCGCTCTATTCCAGAGCTAGGACATTAGCTCTGACAAATGTGAGTTTTATACTATTATTTCTTCACATCCATATTAGAACTCTACATACTACACTATTGGTTGTCCTCCTCTCTCTTTTTATCTTTCATATAAGTGGACTCACTACAAAGAAGAAGACGTCACCAGCAAAGACTATCTGTAAGGACAATAATACTGGACTTTTCCTTCTTTTTAATTGGACTTTATTTATTTTTTATTCTAATTTTATCTGTTTGCGCAGCCTTTTTTTTTTTTTATTTGTTCTTATTAAGTCTTGGTATATGTAGTGTGTGTATATGGTGTGTGCATCTCTGAGTATGCGTAACAGTTTGCATGTATATGTGTAACTGTGTATTTATGAGTGTATGACTGCATATGTGTAACAGTGTGTGCCTTTGCATTTGTATTAATTTCTCATGGAAGATTGGCTTTAAAAAATGAAGTGCTAACATTTTATTGATAGCTAGTAATAAAAATAACATTTTAATTTTTTTGTGCTGCTATCCTTTTGTGTGTATATACATATAATATTTAAAAAAATAAAATAAATTATGGTGGCGCTGGGTTTGTGCATTGGGAGAGCTTAATGTAACATTATTTTTGGGGTGGGGCTAGATCCACCTAGCAAACCCCTGAGGATCAGATAGACAAAAGTGCTTTGGAAGAGAATAATGGTGAATGGGGAGATAAGTCACACTGTGACATTCGGTAAAATACACCCCTGTATACACATACTTTTCAAATATAACAATATATGCACACGGTAATATTCAGTGAAGTACAATTGTACACACATACAAATACAGACACATGCATGTTTCACACCTTGTATGTCTTTTTTTTAACTATTTACTATTTATATTTGACATATTGCACTAGTTGCTTTCCTGTTTATTTTTTTTAGATCTGATGACTGTGAATCTCTTATTTTGCAATTATATATGGTGTAATATTTTTCTCACTGATATACCACTGACCATTTTTTGACTTTGACACATGAATTTGTCATATTCTGTTAGGCACTTATTTACTAAATATGTATCACCCATTGCCACCTATGTATTTGGATTGTGTTACTAGCAATATTTTATGTAAATATGGACAGTGGTTTCATTTTCTGTGCACCAATGTCTGTCATTATTACACATTAATTTTATACACAAATATACTTTTGAAAGCACACATCCCTAGATACATCAACTCTCTGCAAAATACTCCCAGCTTCCACACACACTCCATGCAAAATCACTACGGTATTCCTACAATGCACACAAATATACACTTACATTCACACTCTAAAGCCACACAAAAATACATATCTGACCTATAAAGATGTAGAACTTTGGATTCACGCATGCTTCCACTACATGTAAATATAAACAGTGGCATTACTCACACAAATACAACCTTGGATTCACAAATAACCACAATGAACTCTTTATGTATGTTTCTACATGTACCTATTGGACTATAGATTTGCCTGGGGGCCCAGACTGGTCCCTTACAAACACAGTCGTTAAGCCCCCAGCATTGCATGCATATTCATACACATGCTTCAAGACACATAGATGAAAACTCATGGACACTTTCAAACACATTCATGGTGTAACAGATCACCTGGCACCCCGACTGGGTACCTCCATTGTAGGATGCTCCTAGCGCTTCCTGAGGACTCCAAGCACTGCAGCAGACACCACAACCACCGAACCGGAGAAGCATACGGAGGTACCCAGTCTGGGTGCCAGGTGATCCGTTACATTGGTGGCAGCGGTGGGATGGCGTCCTAGTGCGAGGTAAAGCAGCTCAGAGACACCATTCGTTGAGTTACAAATTGAGGGCAACGCTAGCACTCGTGCAGCGCCCCTGGGAGCAGAGGTATCCAGCGACTTGGACCAGACAGGTATGGAAGGCTCAGGCTCTGAAGATGATTGGCTGGAAAAGGTGAGGCAGAAAGTGGCCCAGTAAGGGGATGATGTACCCATGGAGATACGCCGGGTGATCTGGAATCAGGTCACGGCCAAACGAAACACAAGGCAGGACCGAGAATTCTGGCTGGCGAAAGAGAGAGAGTATGCTCAGCGTTACAGCAGCCGAGTAGAGGCTGCATCCGAGGAGGTTAGCAGTCTTCCCCTGAGGCGGCCGGAGGAACCCGAAGTAGGGGTCCTCATATTATTTATATTTGACATATTGCACTAGGCAGGTGGAGATGGGACCGAGGTCTCAGCACCGGGCCCACCGGGATGCTGGGCAGCCGGCCCAGATCCCCAGCAGCAGCAGCCGGAGTTGCGAGGTGCGGAAGCAGGTGGTCCTTATTCGCAAATGTTGAGAGACCTCACAGGCTGGTCCTGGGAAGACCCACAGATGGCAGGTGGAGATGGGACAGCGGTCTCTCTACCGGCCCTACAGGGATGCTGGGCGGTCGGCCCAGATCCCCAGCGGCAGTATGTATCACAGGGAGCTGAAGGTGCTGTCCTTCCTCCCCAGCGGCAGTATGTATCACAGGGTGCCGAAGGTGCCGTACTTCCTCCCCAGAGGCTGAAAGTGTGTAAGGGAAAGGAGCTTTTAACCCCCTCTCCCCAGAGGCAGCGTAGCCCACCAAGGGGAGACACTAAGCCAGCACAGATGGGACCGTGGTCTCTAAGCCCAAGCTACAGGGAGTACGGACAGTCGGTCCTGCACCCAGCGGCAGAGTATTCTACCAGGAGGGGAGAGTCTCATTCCCCCTCCCCAGCGGCAGCCTAGCCCACCAAGGGGCGATGATAAGCCCCACACCGGTGCAGATGGGACCATGGTCTCTGTGCCCAAACCGCAGGGCTGTTTATCCAAAGGAGAGACAGCCTGTCTTCCCCTCCAGCAGCAACACCAGGTCCAGAGGGAGGAGCCTACTAACCCTTCTCCTCAGCTGAGCCCCAACCAGGCTACTCCCGTGGTAGTGCTGCCACCAGGGAAGAGTACCACTGGTCTCTGCCCATGCAGCAACCCACCAATCCGGAGGGCTAGTACTCCCCAGACCCATGGTGGAGCCCCTGGACATGGACAAGCTACCCACTACCCCAGGTGCAGTAACTTTTCATTGTGGGTGGGCTGCACTACTGACTATGTTTTGTGGGTGGGTTGCTGGACTAACCAAGGCACTGACCGACAGGAGGCCAGATACCTTGTTAGTCTTTTTGGGAAAGGGGAGAAATATGGCAAAACTAACCTCACCAGTGGGCATTGGAGAAGCCTGTTTGCCCGCCTCCTGTCTGCTGACTATGGCCCCTGGGAGACTTGGCCCTTTAAATACAGTATTTGGGCATATTGTATTTTATTATGCTGCTGCTGGCCCTTTAAGAACCATCTGGGGACATACTGTGACTTTTGGGAACAATGCCCCTTTAAGACTTTGGCCTTTGGAAGATATTGCCTGTTAAAGACTATTTTAGCAGATTTAATTTTAAAAGACTTGCTGCCCCTTTAAATTCTATTGGAGAAGTTCTGCAGCTTTAACCCCTTAAGGACACACGACATGTGTGACATGTCATGATTCCCTTTTATTCCAGAAGTTTGGTCCTTAAGGGGTTAAATTGGCACTTCGGATGCAGCCGAAGTGCCAAAGAAGTCGAAGTGGCCGCCATTCAACAAACAAACACATGGCGGCCATCTTTGTTCATTCGAACGAGGTCAGCGGCGTGTGAAGCCAAATCCATGGAACTGAAATTGGCTACACATTTCAACGAACACCACTGACCCTTACCTTCTCCTACACTCAGTTTTCAGCTGCAGAGACTAATTCCCGTTCGAAGATTCAAAGCACGTTCGAATGGGACTTAGTCATTTTTTCAGCTTGAAATTGACCGACCGCACAGCCCAAATCTATGGAACTGTTTTGAGCAGGAAAATGTGCCTGCGGTCGGTCACAAAGGACTTCCAGCTAACTTTTGAACTAATGGAAGGATTTGCATGATTTTTGAGTATGTTTATATTTCAAGTATGCTGATTAATAATATGTAATTTTTTATGAAGATTGGATGTATATTTTTAAAGTTAAAGTACATGTATAAAAACTGTATTTTTCGTGCTTGTGATAATTATGTTAACCCATTGTGTACCATAATTATATCACAGGCAGAGGGAAGGGTTTTGTGTATAATTGCTGGGAGTGTTTTCTGTAATGTACGTGTGTTATTAGTTGTTCTGTAAAACCCTGTGGGCAGTACTAAGTTTGTGGATTGGGAGTAAAAGAGGCTGTATGTGCCAGTACAGTCAGTTCTGCTTGACCTCAAAATGAAGTGTCGTCTCGTTATTTGGGGAATTGGATTGTATGCTGATTGCCAGGAGTGTAAGCTGATTGTATGCTTTTACTGTTCAGCTGCTTACAGCATTCATATGCTTGAGCGCATTTGTATGCTTCTCCGGTTCGGTGGTTGTGGTGTCTGCTGCAGTGCTTGGAGTCCTCAGGAAGTGCTAGGAGCATCCTTCAACGGAGGTACCCATTCGGGGTGCCAGGTGATCCGTTACACATACATGCATAGATAGAACTACCAGACAGACATATGCACACAGTGATTCTCAATGCCAGACACACTGACAAACATTCCTCATAGCCATTCTCAGTCATACATACACACACCCACTGCTAGGCACAAACACCAAAAGACTATCACACAAATATTGACAGACATATATGCAAACATTGTCAGAAAGACACACAAAGCAAATATTTAAATTAAAGACATTTTAGTCAGGGTGGTTTCCCTGTGGTCTACTGGGGTTCTGGCTCCAACTGCTGGCTG